AAGGCGAACCTTAAAGTGAAAGAGTAATAAATATAATTGTCATTGAATTGGTCTCAGAATATGAGAAAGTAGCTGACTTGAATAACTGGGTAACTATTCCTTTTAGTGGTTCCCAATTTTTTGCTTTAAAACAATTGAGGCCAAACCGGTTTGGCTCAGTGGATAGAGCGTCTGCCTGCGGACTGAAAGGTCCCAGGTTCGATTCCGGTCAAGGGCACGTACCTCGGTTGCGGGCACATCCCCAGTGGGAGATGTGCAGGAGGCGGCTGGTCGATGTTTCTCTCTCATCGATGTTTCTAACTCTCTCTCTCCCTTCCTCTCTGTAAAAAATCAATAAAATATATTTAAAAAAAAAAAAAATAAAACAATTGAGTATCATCTGATTGACCTCTAAAGTAATGTAAAGGATCACTATGATTTTGGCATGTAACTTGGAAGAAGTTCAAGGAATTGAGTGACATCATTATAACATTTCCTGGCACAGAAAGTTAATACTGCCATCATAGAATAATCATCTTAGTATAAAAATGATTTAGAGACCAATGTTACATTAACAAATTCTAACTAGTCTACTAGTAAGTACAACCAAAAGAGCAAATGCTTTTGTTTCTTTTTTTTTACATGAAGGTGATTACTTTTTTTAATATATATTTTTATTGATTTCAGAGATGGAAGGGAGAGGGGGAGAGAAAGAGAAGCATCAATGAAGAGAGAGATTCATTGATTGGCTGCCTCCTGTACGCCCCCACTCCCCCAACCGGGGATCAGACCCACAATCCAGGCATGTGCCCTAGACCAGAATTGAACCTGGGGACCTTCAGTCTCCATTCCGACGCTCTATCAACTGAGCCAAACCGGCTAGGGCGATGCTTTTGTTTCTTACGAGAGATAGGTTTGCCAACAGTTTTACAAAGAACCTCTATAGTCTGGGAAGGCATCCTCAAGCTGAAAGTCTATATCTCCTATGAAATAAGCTATTTAGTGAAAAACTTGGGACTTAACCTGTCCAGAGTAAAGGGTCATGGGAGAGGTATGCTTAAAAAAACAATCTTTTGGATTTTCAGAGTTGAGGAGAAAATTCACATTTAGCTTGATTGGGAAGTATGCTAATAACACATAGGCGAATTATTCTGAGGATCTCCTGAATGTGATCAAGATTTTGGGAATGAGACCCAAAGAAAGGAAGGCATATTAGGGACTAATGATAACCAAAACTAACTAACTTAAGGATGGGAGCCTAGGATGAGTTTGAGAAGATTAGAGCTGGCTTTTAGCTATATTTCAAAGGAGAGTTCTACAGCCAAAGTTCCCAATTGTTGATGAATTTGCCCTTCTTCAGGTCTATGGCACTGTAACATGGCCTTTAAGGCTTGACCCCACCGAGTCTAGGGTGGTAGCATTTGCTTCGATCTGATGAATTGCTGAAACTCAAAAACTCATCTCTCTGGTTCTGGATAACTCCTCCAAGAATGTAAATCTTTTGTTTGGTTATAACATCACCATATGATCCTTTACAATGATTACACTGCACAGGATTTTACAGTGATTTCACTGTACCCTTTAACAAATTTGGTTCTCACAAAAACTTTATAAAGTAAGCAAGACAGGTCCTCAGAATGTATGATTTCATTTATATAAAGTTCAAACTAGGCATAACTAATCTATCATGTTAGAAGCTGTAATGGTTACCTCTGAAAAGAAGAAAGAAACTGGGATAAAGCATAAAGAAACCTTTTAGAGGTGCTGATAATGCCTTGTGATTTCATGGGTGTGTTCACAGTATAATTCATGGACCTTTATCCTTCTGATTTGCGCATATTCTGTAAACATGTCATACTTCAATAAAAAGTTCATTATTTTTCAATGCCATGGTGTTAATCACTGCATCATAGCTGCCCATAAATAATATTAAACAGACATACATAGCTAAAAGTGGCAGTAAAAATACTGAATGTATTATAAAAAAGAAAACCACTGATTGTAAATGCAAAACTACTTGCTTTTTAATTCAACTACTTTCATTTATTTCATACCCATCTAAAACCTAACATGAGAAATAAGAAAAAAAATTTAAATATATAAAAGGAGACAAAAACTATCACCCTATAGTTAAGGATACAGCATTTCCCCCCCCCTTATTGTCACCCATATTCCTCACCTCTATAATTTCTCAACTCCATTATTTTCTTATCCTATATAATAAAAGCCTAATATGCAAATTGTCCCCTTGGGCGGTCATTCGACTGCTCGCTATGATGTGCGCTGACCACCAGGGGGTGGCGCGGAACATGGTGGGCATTGGCAGCAGTGGAGGTGCTGCCATCCCTGATGAGAGTGGGACTGCAGTGGGCTGGTGGAGCAGGTGAGCGGGAGGTGCCAGGCCAAGGTGGGTGCATGTGGGGGCCTGATTGCCCTGCTGATCGCCCCACAGACAGCAACCAGTGGCAGCAGTGACGGGGGTGGGAGGGGCGCTGCCAGCTCCCAGGCACTGAGGGGGTCCAGCCCCAATCGACTGCCTCGCAGGTAGGATGGTAGAGCAGTTGAGGGGGCAGGGCCAAGCCAACGCAGGGTGCCAGGCAGGGCTGCAAGGCCGGGGGCAAGAGCTGGGGCCTGATCTCCGCAGGCCACCCTGAGGGACCCCTGTGCATGAATTTGTGCACCGGGCCCTCTAGTTTTCCATAATTCTCTACCTTCTTTCCCACCTCCTCTTATCCTCCAAGATCTTTTCCTAGGTAACTCGTGGTTATGATACAAGTCATACTGGGAAACTTCCTGGGTCAGCTTAGGACCAATTCAGCTCTTTCATATCTCTTATTTTCTCTTCTTGTCCTCCAATTCCATATTCTTTTCTTGCCATCTCGTTTTCTCACATCCCTCCCTCTGATTCTGCCTCTATTCTTCTTCCTAGTTTTACTCCCCAAGTCTATCTGAAGCACACATAATAGTAAAAGGTAACCAACCAATATTTATTCTCATTCAATTATGTTCTATATAAACAGACTTGAAGCTATAGTGTTATAGGGATGGCTGTACAGATGATAATAGAGTCAGCTGAGTTTTCTATGACAAATAGAACTGATGTCTTTGCATAGTTTCTCCACACTTTAAACTATGCATGATTTTTAAATCTTTTTCTGGCCCAAACACCTGAGGAACTTGACATTAACACCTCTAACAGATGGTTAGTTTTATGTGCTAATAAAGCTGGGCACAGTGCCCAGATATATGGTCAAATATTGTTTGTTTCTATGATGGTGAGCCTAACATTTAAATCAGTGAACTTTGAGTAAAAACATAATGGTGGGCCTCATCCAATTGCTAAAGGTCTTAACAAAGACTCATCTCCTCTGAGCAAGAAAGGAATTCTGCCAGCAGACAGTCTTTGGACTCAAATTACTACTTTTGCCTGAGTCTCCAGTCTACTGGCCTATCCTGCAGATTTTAGACTTACTAAACCTCCACATCACATGAGCGAATTTCTTAAAATAAATCTCTCTACACACACACACACACACACACACACACACACACACCCTGTTTTGTTCTCTGGAGAGCATGACTAATACAAGTAGCTATGGTAATGTTTCTCAACTAGAAATGGTGGGGGCGAGGTGCAGTCTACAGAAAAAACACAGGAGTTGGGGATGACAGATAATTTTATTTTTTGTTAATCCTCACTCATTGATTTTTAGAGATAGTGGAAGGGGGAGAGAGATATGAGAGAGAGAGAGAGAGAGAGAGAGAGAGAGAGAGAGAGAGAGAGAGAAACATTGATGTGAGAGAGACACAAAGGGACACAGAGACACATACTGGTTGCCTCCCGCATGTGCCCAGACCAGGCCAGGAATCGAGCCTGCAACTGAGACACATGCCCTTGACCGGAATCAAACCCAGGACCCTTCAAACCCACAGGCCGATGCTCTATCCACTGAGCCAAACCAGCTAGGGTGATAGATAATTTTAAAAAGGTCTGATGCAGACCTTATGGAATATCTACTCAAAAGTCATTTACTAGTCTTCTTCTATTACAGAGACTGGAATACTAAAACAAAGTTTTTGGCTTCCCTTATATGTAAGAGAGCTGTAGCCAAATTCATTTGTTTGCAAATGAACAGCTAAAGCCTCACTAGGAGAAAGCACTATGCTCTAACTATTCTTCCTGCCCAGACCACTAAGGATTCAGATGTAAAAACATAATGGTGGGCCTCATCCCACCATTGCCTGAAGGAGCTGATCCTTAGCTCTAGGGCTGCTCCCCGCCATTCCCCACAGTTCATGTGCAGTATCTTATATAAGAGTGCAAGTAGAATCTGGCTGCTTAGGCCAGCCTGTACTGAAAGCAGAAAAACTTAACCCATGTTATCATATTAAGTGTTACTTTAAAAACATAGCTGTACTCAGGCTCCACTGAGACTACCTAAAGTTGAAATCTGCAATAGGAAGGACTTGGACTAGAAAAATTTCCTGAAAACAATGATTACAAAATATTGACAATTATAACTATGAACTACTAAGGAAGGCTATCGAATTCCCTTTAAAAAGCATCTTTTGAAAATATGGCCTGAATTATTTTATGGCATTCCACTGTAAAGACAAGAGTTAGAAGAGAGCAGCACTTTGACATCATTTCCATTCTATAATACACTACTGATTTAAAGGTTTTAATCTCAGTACACTTTCTATATTTATTAATGGTTTGTTAGTGAGGTTTTATTACATAGTGATTTTTATATAGCACTCTTTAGCTCTGAGCTAAAGAGTGCTATATAAAAATCACTATGTAATAAAACCTCACTAACAAACCATTAAGAAGGAACTTATTGGCCAAGTTGATAAAAAATGTAAATTAAATGCCCAAATTTTCTAACAACTTTTTAAGTCAGCACTATATCTTTAAGGCTATCAATGATGTACCTCTAAAAATACTGTTTTCTTCAGACCTGTCTAGAAAAAGAAAAATCAAGTGCTATTAATGAATGATTTCAAAACTCTGTATTTACCTTTTTTTTCTCCAGTGTAGGGCACATAGTCTTCCCGGTCCTTATGCTCCAAAGCTTCCTTCTCCAGATATGACAAGAGGTGTTCTCTATCAAAAGGCCCAGTGGCAGACTTTGAGGTCTGGTTCTTCTGTCGGAACCCTGCAGGCAGAAGAGCATTCTGCCAAAGAGAATGAATCAACCATTATGACCACCAAGAACGCCGATTTTCATATGCTTGCATAGATTACTCAGAGAAGAAACAATTCTAGATTAGAATATGATGTAGGCATTAAACACTTTATTACAGGACTTTAGGGTTGCAATGTAAAAGTGTTCCAAAGTTTTTTCTTAAATTAGGTAGTATTCACTTACATTACTATTAAAATAAGTACAAACATATTTTCTTTAGCAAGTATTTACTAGCAGGAAAACCCCTTTATTTTTAAAATGTCCTGGAACAATAATAAAAAGGTTTTTAATGCTTAATAACACCTTAGCATATATGTAAATACAGAAAATAATTCCATTACAAAAGAATGTTAAATGACTATATGCATAATAGTCCTTCACAGTAACTTTTATTTCATTATAAAGACCTTCTCGTTAAAAAACACACAAAACACCACATGTATATCAAGCCCTAGCCAGGTTGCTCTGCTGGTTAGAGCATCATCCTGACACCAAGGTTGCTGGGTTTGATGCTGGGCCAGGGCACACATAAGAATCAATGAATGCATAAATAAGTTAAATAACAGTTAATGTTTCTCTCTCCTTCTCTCCTAAATCAATTAAAAAACAAAGCAAGTATATTGCCCGGCTGGCATGGTTTAGTGGTTGAGTGTCGACTTCTGAATCAGGAGGTCACTGTTTGATTCCCAGTCAGGGCACATGCCCTGGTTGCAGGCTCAATCCTCAGTGTGGGGTGTGCAGGAGGCAGCCGATCAATGATTCTCTGTCATCATCATTGATGTTTTTCTCTCTCTCTCCCTCTCCTTCTCTCTCCCCATACCCTTCATCTCTGAAATCAATAAAATATATATAAAATAGAGCAGTCATGTCAGTAAAGATATGGAGGTAGAAGGGGAAAACTGGAGAAGAGACAAAAAGTTAATTTAAATAAAGAGGTGTCAGTGAAGACTTGGTTTGGGGTGATGAACACACAATACAATATACAGATGCTGTATTATAGAATTGTACCCCTTAAACCTATAATTTTATTAACCAATGTCACCCCAATAAATTCAATAAAAAAAAAATAAATTATACATATACATGGGGGGAAAAAAGAGATGCCAGTGAAAAGTTCTGAAAAAGTTAACTTCTCAAAGGCAGCTACTTAGTTTCAAAGGGTTTGAAAAATTATTTCATTTTTCTTCATCAGCTAGCACCTACCTCAGGGTCAAGATCATCCAGCACGGTTTCCAGTTGTTTCAGTTCTATTTCTGATAGATTCCCAAGGAGCTCATCTTCATCCAGGTCCTTGTACTTTTCCAAGTCCTTCCGGAATGGTAGTGCCATGGTCTGCAGTGTCACTTCGTTTTTGCTATTCAATGTAGTCAGAAGTGATTTCTATTTTTTTTTAAACTATGGAGAGAAGAGACAAAAACATTTAAAACATCATCTCCACCTACTTAAATCTATTATTAGGTTAAGTGAAATGTAATTTCCATGTCATATATTGTTTGACCATATATCACACACCACCCTATTCTATGGATCATTCAATGCCTTTACTGTTTGTCTTTTGTTAACAACAACAAAAAGAAACTGAGGGAAAAAGAGGGGAAGGAGAGAATAAAATTCAAATCCATAAAAATGTCTACTTGACAGAATTTAGATTTTCTGATAACTAAGTTTTAGGGGGGAAAAGATTATATAATTTGTGCTAAAATACAAATTTTTCCATCAATGGCTTTCAAATGATTGTTACTTTGCTTAAGCACAGTATGTTTAAGGTACAGTTGTTTTATTGTAAATTACTTAGAAGAACATTATTTTCTGACTCAACATTAACATGGGGTGTTCCCCATAGAAGGAATGGCAGCCTCTTGCCATTGGAAAAAAAATTTTTTTGAAAAGTGCGTTAAAAAAAATTTAAAGTCGCTTTTAAAGGAAAAAGTACAGCACTATAAAACTTTCAGTAAAATACTCAAAACCATGCTATGTCACCCACTAACTGACAAGGTTGGTCAGGAGAATCTGATTACAGAAAGGACCTTCACCATTTCCTTACTGTGTGGATCTCTCCCCAAAAGCTATGAGGTGACTCAATAAGCAGCATATGTCCAGTTACCCACACGACTGTTATATAGGAAAGGATACTTAAAGTAAAAAAGTGAAGCAAAAATTAAGTATTTTTATGAATTTTAGCCATATATGTGGATCATTTGTCTCATAAAATGTTCCTATGTGTGCCCTAGCCAGTTTGGCTCAGAGGATAGAACATTGGCCTGGGAACTGAAGGGTCCCGGGTTCGATTCAGTTGCAGGCTCGATCCTACCTTAGTTGCAGGTTCGATCCCTGGCCCTGGTTAGGGCAGGTGCGGGAGGCAACCAATTGATGTGTCTCTCTCATATTGATGCTCTCTTTCTGTGTCTCTCCCCCTCCCTTCCACTCTCTCTAAAAATCAATAGAAAAAATATCCTCAGATGAAGATTAGCAACAACACAAAAATGTTCTGTGTGGATAAAAAATAATCTTTAGACTTAATGATGTTAAAATTTTTCTTGGCTGCAAAATGCCCAGTATTTCAAAGTTTGGATATATTTCCTTTGCTACCGTTCCCCCCACCCCCCCTTGTTTTCCCAACTTAATACCATATTTTAACTAATATATTTTCCTCCTCAATTCAGTAACATTTTATGGATCCTTTTAGGTGTTTTCATCTCCCAAGAAGAAATGAAGGTTCACCACAGGAGTCTGTCAGTTAAGGAAATGACTAGCAACCACCTGGGTCCTATAAAGAGCATATTAACATAATTGTGCTTATGCAGATGTTAAATTGCAGGCATTTTGTATAATTGCCCAAGACAGATCTGGCTTACACCTGTTCTACTAACACCACATAGATTTAGCAGTTATCCTAAATTTTTCCATTAAAAAAATTATTGTTATCATTACTAAGTTTGGTAAACCTCTACTTTGTATTTCCAACTTTAAGATAGCAAGCTTAACAAGTATCCTGAGAGTGTATTTTCTCAATTAAAAATAATACCGTCTGCAGAGAAGAGTCAATGGAAAGTATCAGCACTACCAAATATAGTAACCATAAAATGCAATTTTAAAGAAGGTAGCATGCAATTTTAGGAGAAAAGATAAAAAATTAGACCACACTGAAAAAAAGATTCCCTTCATAAACAGACATTTGATACAAAGGTAAGAAATTGATAAAAGTTTAAGAATATGTACCAAGAGTAATTATTTACTTTATGCTATTTTTTAATGTTTGGAAAATCAATATAAAAATACATTTCAATATAGTTTAATATAATATACTGAAGTTTACAGTACAGTCATGTGCCGTCAACAATGGACTGAATATCCAAGGATGGTCCCACAAGATTATCATGGGGCTAAAAAATCCCTATCACCTAATGTAGCCCTTGTAATATATAACCCAACACATTACTCACATGTTTCTGGTGATGCTGGTATAAACAAACCTAGACCCACTGTTCTGGCAATGGTATAAAAGCTCAGCACATATAATTACATATGGTGCATAATACTTGATAATGATAATAAATGACTTTGTTCCTGGTTTATGTATTTACTATATTATTTTAAAGTGTATTCTTTCTTCTTAAAAACACACAAAACTGTTGCTGTAAAATGCCTCACCCATCTTGTTTACTGCATCTCTTGATACCATAATTTTCTCTTGTGTCTGATTTAACCATATGTTGTTTTGTACAGTGGCATGTTGTACAGGCTTGTAGCCTAGGAGCAAGGCTAAGTCATATGGCCTAGGTGTGGAGTAGGCTGTAGCATCTAGGTTTGTGTAAGTGCACTCGATGATGTTCACACAATGATGAAATTGCCCAATGATGCATTTCTCAGAACTTATCCCCATTGTTAAGCAGCACATAACTATAAATAATAGAGCTAATTTCTTAGTCAATAAATATTTCAAAAAATACTGATTATTTTGAGCATCTCTTTTCTTTACTCTCAAAAGTATCCCAGCCTTGGCCATAAATTCAATGGTCATCCAACTAAGAGGGTACTGTAATAGACAAAATGATAGAAATGAAATATTCAGAATAAAGGCAATATATATCACCCAGGTTTTATAGGTCGGAAACATGAAATTCCTTAGAATGAGTAAAATAGTTTACTCCAATAGATTGCTTTTTATTCCAAGTATAAACTGTCATACAAAGCATCTTTATATACTACTAGGAGCCTGGTGCATGAAGATTCGTGCACTGGGGGTGGGTCCCTCAGCCTGACCTGCACCCTCTCCAATCTGGGAGCCCTCAGGGGAGCCCTCTCCATTCCAGGAGTTTCTGTCTGTCTTTGCAATCATATGAGCGAATTGTCTGAGACCCCCTAACCCAGTTTGGTTTGTTGCTCACAGAATAATAGAGGCTTTTTTTTTCTTTGCTTCATTGGTGGAGATTTCCTGGAATTTTTAGGATATCTTCCCTTTAATTCTTCCTAGACACTCTGATTTTACTTATGTCTCTCACCTTTGCTTTCCCTCCATCCCCCACCGCAACAGTAACTTGCTCCAGGCTCACTTTGCTCTAGTGTCTAGGAGATCCGTCTGCCACCAGAATTATGATTCCCAGCATTCCTGGTGCTCCCCGCACTCTAGGTTTTCCATTCCTGCTCTGTCTCTGTCCCATGGCCTCCCACTCTGCCATGTCCCCCCAAGCCTCCGGCTCTCCCGCTCTGCTCTCTGCCCGGCGCCTGTGTATGCAAATTAACCCGTCATTTTTGTCAGGTTAATTTGCATATTCACTCCTGATTGGCTGGTGAGTGTAGCGAAGGGATGGTCAATTTACATGTTTCTCTTTTATTATATATAAAACTAGGGGCCCAGTGCACGAATCCGTGCACCTTGAAAGGAACTATGGGCAGTGAGGCTATGGTGGGCCCAGGGGCAGGTCATGACCCATCCTCTGTGCCCCCACTTGGTCCCTCGCACTGGTGCCCCTGGTCCCCTGTCTGCCAGCAGCCCCGCTCCCGCTGCTGCCACTCCCATGCACTGACGGTGCCGGCCCCACTCGCACCCGTTGCTGGCGCGGAGCAATTGGGACCAGCACCTGCAGCAGGTGCAAGCAGGGACTGCTGCCCCACTTGCCCCTCAGGAGCAGGGGGAGGTGGAGAAGCCCTCAGGGGCAATTGGGGCTGGCAGCCGCCGCTCGAACCTGTTGACAGCACTGAGTGTTCGCGACTGGCGCTGAGTGATCGGGACTGGCGCCGGGTGCTGGCAGCAGATGCCAGAGGCAGCTGCTGGTCTTGATCACCCCTCAGGAGCAGGGGGAGCTGGAGAAGACTTGAGGGGCGATCAGGGCTGGTGCCTGGCACCGGCAGCAGGTGTGAGCGGCACGTGGGAGCAAAGAATTTTCAGTAACCACCAGAGGATCACCCCAATGACAGCGACGGTGCCCCGCCTTGGCCTGGCACCCCTGCTCACCTGTTCCACCATCCTGCCATGGCCAATGCACGCCACATTCTGTGCGTGCCCCTTGGTGGTCAGCGTACGTCATAGCGAACAATTGTTCAGTTACCGTTCGGTCTATTTGCATATTAGGGTTTTATATAAATAGATTGTTTAAAAATAATAAAATGAATGCCTATCTTCAGAGAGAGACCATTACTAGTACCCTCATGTTCCCCATGCCAGGGCATCTCCCTCCTCAAAAGTAGTAGCCATTGCACTGAATTTTGAATTACTTATTCTCTGACTTTCCTCTACATTTTACCTTAAATGTACATATACTTAAGAGTTTCAGTTTTGCCCTTTTATTTTGCATTTTACATATATGGGCTCATACAGTATGCATCCTTGTGTGACTTGCATTTTTCATTTAAGATTGTTTTGAGTTGATGCTTAAAGCTGTACTTCTTTCATTTTCATTTCTATAGAGTATTCAGTTGTATAAATGAATATCTGAGTTTTTTGCAGTTGTCCCCTCTATTTTTCTGCTATAACCCATCTTGCTATCTACTTCCTGGTATACATGTGCAAGAGTATCTCAAAGCTGTTCAATCTAGGAATGACATTACTGGAAAAGGGTATGCTCAGACTCAACTTTACTGGGTAATGTCTAACTATTTTCTTTTTTTAAAAAAATATTTTTATTGATTTCAGAGAGAAGGGGAGCAAGAGAGAGATAGAAGCATCAACGATGAGAGAAAATCATTGATCAGCTGCCTGCCCCCTACTGGGGATTGAGCCCACAACCCAGGCATGTGCCCTTGACTGGGAATTGAGCTGTGATTTCCTGGTTCACAGGTAAATGCTCAACCACTGAGCTGTACCAGCTGGGCTCAAACTCTTTTCAAAGTGATTATACCACCTTACAGTTCTAGAAGATTCAGTACATGACAATTCATGTTGCTCATCCTTGCTA